TATCAGTTCATTCCTCAGTCTCCTGTATTTCCTCCTGCCTTCTTCATTGTTGACATTCTTCCATTTCCTTCGCTCCTCCATTTTACTCATCATCTCCTGTGTAACCCATGGTTTTCTTGCTATCTTCTCAACTTTACCAACAAAATCACTGATAGTATCTAACATGCATTCTTTTATATTGTTCCACTGTACTTCAGCATTTCCGCTTTCACCTTCAATTGCACCGAGTTTCTCTTCTAGGGTCTCTTGCACGCTTTGTCTTTGAGCATATAACTTCTCCAAATCCCATCTAGGTCTGCGCTTTTGAAATCTTATAATTTTCTTCAACCTGGTTCGGAACTTGGCAACCAGTAAGCTGTGGTCAGAGTCAATATCTGCCCCAGGCAGCGTCTTCGCATCCTTCACACTGTTTCTGAATCGATGTTTCACAAGGATGTAGTCCAGCTGATGCCTCCTCCAATCCCCAGGTGCCTTCCATGTGTAAATTCTTCTCTTTGGCTTCTTGAACCAAGTGTTGGTGACAGTCTGTCCATTTCGTTCACAAAAGTCAATAAGCATTTGACCCCTGTGATTCCCCCTTTCTAGTCCATGTGATCCAACAATATTCTGATATGGTTTATCTCCAACAATGCTATTTCTGTCTCCCAATATGATGCTGTTTGTGTCACCTCTTCCATCTTCCTGAAGAATTTCTTGAATTGTGTCATGCACTTTTTCCACTTCATCATCTTCATACTCTGATGTTGGCATGTACGCTTGCATAATCAGTATATCTACCGGTTCCACCTTTAACTTAAGAGCAATAATTCTGTCATTACAAACAGTCTTCTTAACAACACTCCTCACTACACACTACACATCTCATATAAGACAAAAAATAATATAAAACATCTGTTAAAATTAAATAATGACAGAAATGATAAGTATGGCCTTAGTGGTGTTTACCAAGTACAATGCTCTGACTATTCGTTAAAATATGTAGGACAGACCGGACGTCTCTTTAAGGTCAGATTCAGAGAACACATACGAGACATAAAAAATAAGGGACAAAGCTCCAGATTTGCTTAACATATATTGGACACCACACATGAATATAATACGATAGATAAAACATTAGACGTTCTATATATCGGCAAGGAAGGCTGAACCCTGGATACATATGAAAGATTTCACATTTACGAAATCAGGAAACTAAATTTTCAACTGAATGATAATTTTACTGAAATATTTAGCCCTATATATGATGTAATCATTGATACTTTTTTTTTTCCTTGGCACTACAGCCCCAGTGGGCGTAGACCTACCTCCATGAACTTCTCCATTCACTTCGGTACTTATAGATCTTACACATTTGGTAGGACTCCTTGGGTGTGTGATCAGCTCGTTGCAAGGCCTCTACCTGTACACAAACACAGAAAATCGCACACACACACACACACACACACACACACTAACTAAACATCCATGCCCTTAGTGGGATTCAAACCCACGATCCTGGTTTCCATGCAAGCAAAGACAGTACATGGCTTAGACCACTCGGCTACCATGACCGGCCAATCATTGATACATACAGAACATAATATACAGTCCTACCCTCCCATGCCCCTCTACCCCCACTTCTGCATACACCTTATACCTTATTTGTACATCTTCCCACCTCCCACCCTTGCATTGACTTTTAACATACATCAACAAGTCAGTTGTTTACATTCCCTACAGAACGGACAATACTTTGTAAGATGAGGCATGGACTAAATAGTAAGTAAATAATGCACTATATTCAATACCAAAATCAGTTGTTGATTATAACAAAATTTAATACTGTTACTTTCATATCATTTTCAGATTAACATTTATATTACTACATCTGCATCACGAGCCTCCAAAACAGTCTATTATATATATATATACAAAATATAGAATACTCCAATTTGTCCGTGGGAAGACAACAAAATCACAAAAACCAACGACTGGCTCGATGATGTAAAGCATCACTCGAAGAATTTTATGCTTGTTTTATACTATAACTTTTGTTTTATATTGTATGTTTATTGTATTTTTATTCCAAGTAATTTTATATAATTAATAATATTGTATCCAATTTTACTAGTACTTCAATTCAGTGGTGTATGTATGTTAGCCATGTATTTGCCTGATGATGGCTTTTAATAGCCGAAACATGTAGCAGAGCCAAACTTGGCACTGACCTTAATATAGTTGTGTTGTGACGGTTTTAATAAAGAGATTGCATATTATAACACAACAGGAATCATGAAATGAAAATTAGAATCATCAAGTCAAGGAGGATGAGGTGGGCAGGGCATGTAGCATGAATGGGAGAGAAGACAAATGCATATAGGTTATTGGTGGGAAAGCCAGAAGGAAAGAGACCACTGGGAAGACCAAGGCGTAGGTGGGTGGACAGTATTGAAATGGATTTTAGAGAGATGGGATGGTATGGATTGGATTGATCTGCCTCATGATATGGACCAGTTGAGATCTCTTGTGAACATGGTATTGAACCTTTGGGTTCCATAAAATGCTGGGAAATTCTTGAGTAGCTGCATATTTGGCTTTTCCTCAAGAAAGGCTCAGCTCCGTAAGTAAGTAAATAGTTTTATTTGCAAGAATTTCAGTTAAAAATATTATTTTATGTTAGGTTCACTATTATTTTCAACTGGCCCAGCAGCATCAGGCTGCTTTGCAACAAACAGCCCAGCAGTCAGGTTCAGGTAACCAGACAGCAACTGCAGTACCAACTATTCAAATTGTGCAACCTACAACTGGACAAGTGCAGACTGTCAGCATTGCCAATCCAGCAGTTGAACAGGTACTACAATTTCATGGAGTTTAAAACCATATTTTCGGTTATGCAAAGAATGAAGATTTTTTCCATTTTAAATGTCTATTAAGCCCCTTATATTATTAGTGTGACACACAACTTTGATCTGAATATTGGCCCGGTAGATTCTGGGCTTCAGATGTCACCTGGAAATTACGATATATGACAGCCAATGAAAGTACAGTGGAATCACATCATATGCACATCTAATTTACATTAATTCAACTGTACACGCTCCCCCGCCATAATAGTACGAGTGATTCTGCACACAGTGTCATTCAGTGATCATAATCTCTTACCACCTCCAGATAGTGTTGTCAAGGGAAGAGGCATATCCAGGTTGAATGGTGAGTAATGGATTTTCAAGGGTAGTTCTGACTAAATGCAATTCTGGGTTTATGTGACACCTTTAGAACGTAACCCCCGTGTAAAATCTGACTCTACTGTATAATAAAATCTGTATCATTAGAACTGTTCCGTAACATTTTGTAGATATAAACTTGAAATGTTCTCACAGGTATGACAAATTCACACTAAAATCCAGGAAATGATATATGGTACTTTTTGTTATTGGTGCTAAAAATATCGACACAGCACAATTCTGTAGTTTACTGTTATAATAACACTTGATAATACCAAATTTTGGTAAACCCTAGGATTTATGCGTTGAACCTAGCGTTTACCAAACAGTGTTGTTAAAAGCCCCATGCCAAAAACAAATACTCAAAAAATTTTATGTATAACGTTTATTCAAAGAAAATGATATATACATTGTTAAGGAGCATGAATCATCTTCATCTTTTCTATGCGGCATGAACCAACCTGGAATGCGAATTTGATTTGCAGAAAACAAAAAAAAAAAAAAAAGAAAAAAAAAAACGAAATAATTAGTTTATTTTTTATGATACATATCTAACTCTTTTTTACTAGAAAGCTGCCTAGAGGCATTTATTTTTGCTGACGCTTCAAAATTTGGTGAAAATGCAACACAGCATTATCATTAAATAAATTTGTAGCACACATAGCCACTGCCTTATTAGGGTGATGTTTCTCAATGTATGATGCAACAGTTTCCCATGCTTTCAGCATTTCTCTTATTGCGCCAGAAGATTGTTGCTTTGCTGTTACCTCCTCCTCCTCCTCTGACAAACTCTCCTCCACAACTTCTTGCTGTGAAACACAATGCAACTCCATAAGCTCTTCGGTGGTTAGCTCTTGGCTGTGCTCTTCCACAAGCACATTGATATCATTGTTATCCACCTCCAGCCCCATGATCTTGGCCAAAGACACAATCTCGTTGACTACAGGCTCCACAGGTACTATCTCAAAGCCCTCAAAGTCACATTCGACAACGCTCTCCAGCCAAAGCTTCCAAGCAGAAGTAAGGGTTCTCTTGGTAACCCCTTCCCACGCCTTTTCGATCATCTTGAGGCAGGCAAGGATGTGGAAGTGATATTTCCAAAACTCTCTGAGAGTGAGATTGGTCCCTTCAGTCACCTCAAAACAACGCTTGAAGAGCGCTTTAGTGTCATCATCATCATGCAGTCTTCCAAAACAATTCCTCCACTTATTGCGATCTAGAGCTTTCTCCTTCAAATGACAGTAACCTCTTCTGTCCCCAAGGTCATCCAGCATCTTCTTACATCTTCTTCCTCGTCTTCTTGTCACTTCTGTCTGCCCCTCTATTTTTCCTTCAATAACTTCTTTTAGAAGGCAGTTTCTGCGTAAAACATGACCAATCCAATTAGCCTTCCGTTTTCTTATTTCGTGTAGGATATTCCTCTGCTCGCTGACTCTAATTAACACTTCTTCATTTCTCACATAATCGGTCCAAATATTTTTTCGCAGAAGGACCAAACACTTCATTGACCCAATCAGTAAAAAGGTCACGTGTCACCCAAGCCTTGTTGTTGGACTTCCACATCACATTTAGCCTGCTCTTCTGGACTTTACACTTCTTGAAGGCTCATGGAGTTTCTGAATGGTAAACAAGCAGCGGTTTAAGTTTCAAATTGCCACTTGCATTGGCACAAAATAGCAGCGTGAGACAGTCTTTCGTTGGCTTATGGCCGGGCAATGCATTATCCTCTGCTGTTATATAGGTTCGCTTCGGCATCTTTTTCCAGAAGAGACCTGTCTCGTCACAAGTAAAAACCTGTTGTGGCAGGTAACCCTCAGAATCTGCGAGCTTCTTGAAGTTGCCGATGAAGTTCTCTGCTGCCTTTGTGTCGGAGCTTGCTGCTTCACTGTGCCTTACAATGCTTTGGATGCCAGTTCTTCTCTTAAACTTCTTGAACCATCCATGGCTTCCCTTAAATGCTTCTTCTTTGGCCGTTGATGATCCTGGCGTCTTCTTAACGAGGTCAGCAAAAATCACTTTCGCCTTCTCATGAATGATGTTCTCATTAATAGTGTCACCTTGCAATTGCTTTTCGTTTATCCATATGAGGAGCAACGTTTCAACATTGTCGAGAATACGTAACCGTTGCGTAGATATTCTTGTCACTCCCTTTGAAGCATCTATCTTCTTAATCTTGTCCTTGTTCTTAAGGATAGTGCAAATCGTTGATATAGACATTTTTACGTACTAGATCAGCCACGCTCACACCTCGTTCTCGCTTTTCAATGATTTTACGTTTCATATCTATGGTTATTTTTATCCTCTTATGGGTGTCTTTTTGCGGCTTTTTCTTAAGGGAAATTTTTGCAAGGGTTATTAAGCTTTGCACAAAAAAATCACAAATAATATGTCTGAACACAAGTTTGGAAAAATGTGTGATCACAAGCGACACTAAGATGCTAGCAGAACGAGTGCTAAACACAGACTGATGTAGCAAGCACACAATCCAGGACTTCCCCTCTCGTCACTCATTATGCGAAATGTCGCTCATTAAGTGAGTCATTATTTTACACTTTGTTTTGCTCGGTATGCGAATTACTCCTTATGAGAGGTGCTCGTTAAATGAGGTTCCACTCTATGAGGGGGTACCCAAAAGAAATCGAACTTATTTTTTTTTAAACTTATTTATTCAAATTTTAAGCACAAACCTTCAATCCCCTTCAAAGTACTCTCCACTTAAAGTAATACACTTGTCTAGTCTTATTCCATTTTTCAAAACATTGTCTAAATACATCTTTTGAGATGCTTGACAGTGCCTCCGTCGTTTTTTCCTTCACCTCAGCAACATCAGCAAAACGCTTTCCTTTCATGTCTCTTTTCATTCGAGGAAACAAAAGAAAAGTCGCAAGGGGCAAGGTTGGGCGAGTATGGAGGGTGAGGAACAGGGGTCATACCATTTTTGGTCAAGAACTGTCATACAGACAGGGCTGTGTGAGCAGGGGCATTGTCATGATGGAAAAACCAGTCACCCGACTGCCACAAATCTGGCCGCTGAGCTCCAAGTCACTCCCGACAGCTCCACAATTTCTTCAATGGTCCGTCGTCGATCTTCCTTGATGATTTCACGAATTTTTTCAACATTTTCATGTGTTCGGGCCGTGGAAGGACGACCAGAACGAGGTTTGTCATCAGTTGACATTTCACCATTTCTGAAATGGGAAAACCACTCAAACACTACCCCATAGCATCATCCTTGTATGCCGTTTTTAACATATCAAGAGTTTCTGTTCCACTTTTCCTGAGCATAAAGCAGAATTTCACCGCCGCATGCTGTTCACGAAAATCAGCCATTGCAAAAACGACGATCACACAAAACAGTTGTCACTATAAACTCTGCCGAAACTAGTCCTTACCTTCTGAAGCAACGGTAGTCGGCTTATCGACTCAGGAATGTTAGCTCTATGCGCTCATAGCGGCAAAACGCGGTACTACAAAAGTTCTGCCCACAAAAAAATTAGTTCGGTTTCTTTTGGGTACCCCATCGTATATGTATGATAGAAATCTCACCACTAATGCTGTCAATATGTGGATATTTGATCATGGTTGACTGTGTTATGCTCCTTTAATGTTTTCTTCTTAGGATGGCCACAGAGCTTCGTATTTTGACATTTTCTTGCATTATCTTGTTAAATTCTGTCCTTAATCACATCCTTCAATGATCTGACCATAATTGTGTTTATGAATTTCTAGTCTTTATTCGAGCTTCAACTAACGCAATTGCTTTCATCGCCTGTTGGGTTCCAACTATCCAATGCGGCCTTAGGTATATTATTGTTGAAATTAAGAGTCATGTGGTCCGTTAGCCTCATACATTGCAGTGTCATGCTGTGACATGAAGGGAAACAAAACTGGCTTGTGTTAAGCAGGCCTCTTTCTTCAGTGTGCTTTGAACTATTTTCAGAATGACTTTTTTGAATAGTTTACCTGTTGTAAATTTGCAGGGAATTTTGGGTCCTTACCAGGTTTTGGTAATATTATGACTTTTGCTTCCTTCCAAGGCTTTGCCAAAATGGGACAGCCAGAGGCAGTGATTAAATACATATGTCAGGTGTACCAATGGCCTTCTTGGAAGGTTCCTGAGGCATTCATTTGGAATGCCATCAGTTCCGCTTACCTTTCTCAATTCCGAGGTATTAATTAGTTTATCTAAGTTACATGGTCTTATTTTCTCATGGGGATGTTGTCTACAGCTTCAAGCAGAGCTTGAACTCTAGCCTGCACCTGCCATTCATGGTTTCTGTCACAGAAGTCATGGTGTGTGAATTGATTTTCCAAACAGTCCAAGCAGTTTGCTTTCTTGGATGGATGAAATATAAGTCCTGAAGGACCATATACAGGATGTTTCACGACTTTAGGGTATAACTGCAGGAAGTGATTTCCTAGGTCTTTGTGATCAAAAAAGTTCGCATAAACATGTGTCTGATTTTGGACGGTTACGGAGTTATGACCGTTTTTTCGTTCCCGTACACGCCCTGGTGTGAACCGTGTCTGTTAGCTGTCGGGTTGCTACTTTTAGCCAGCTACAGACAGAGCGTTCTCATTATCTCGACACTTGAGATGTAGTACCTAGGCGGGGTGGGTTGGTATG